CTTTAGGTATGAGTGTTGTGACCCTGTGTCTCGTCACTTTCACCACACTTTGGATGTTACATTTTGTAAGGATCTTCCTTTCTTTGGTACTAACCCTTCTTTACAAGCTTCTCCTGTTACTTCCACTGTTCGCTCGGTGACCATTTTGGACAAGGTTGAGAATGAGGTTGTCCCCTTTCCTCCTTCTCAACCTTCGCCTCCTCCCACATTGCAAGTATACTCCCATCGCCCACGCACTCAGCCCCCTCTGCCGCCTCTCTGATCTCTAAGTCAGGTAACTCTTCTCCTTTAGCTCCTTCTCCACCTCCTTGTCATTACCCACATCGGGATCGACATCCTCCAAATCGTTTGAGTTATTTGAGTAATACTAATCATCCTATTTCTTAGTATCTTTCCTATGACAGGGTTTCCCCTTCTTACTGTTCTTTTCTTGGAAAGCTTGAGTCGGAATCCATTCTTCGTTCTGTATCTGAGGCTTTTCAGAATCCCAAATGGGTAGCGGCTATGCAGACTGAGATGGCGGCCTTAGAACAAAATCACACTTGGAATCTTGTACCTTTACCTCCTGGGAAAAGTACAGTTGGTTGCAAATAAGTGTTCACTATAAAGTATCTCACTGATAGTTTAGTAGACCGTTACAAAGCTCACTTGGTAGCCAAAGGTTTTACACAAATTCCTGGCAAGGATTTGGTGCCACTTTTGCCCCTGTCGCCAAGCTTACTTATGTACGTCTCCTTATCTCCCTTGCAACATCTCATTCTTAGCCTCTTCATCAGTTTGATGTCAAGAATGCATTTCTCCATGGAGATTTTCTTGAGACGATTTACATGGCTCCTCCACCCGATTTTTGGGTTGAGGGGAAGTATTCGGGAAAAGTGTGCCAGTTACGCAAATCCTTGTATAGCCTAAAAAACAGTCTCCACGAGCATGGTTTGGTCACTTCAGTTCTGTTATTATATCTATAAGCTTTGTTCAGTGTCACTTCGATCACATTCGTTTCATTCGCCGGAACTCTGCAGGTCAGTGTATAGTCTTGTTAGTTTATGTGGATGATATTATTCTCATAGGTGATGACTCTGTCGGCATTGGTCGACTGGGGCCAAACTTTTGACATTAAAGATCTGGGATGTCTCAAATATTTTTTGAGAATTGAGGTGGCTCACTCAAGAGAGGGGATCTCCTTGTCTGAAAGAAAGTATACCCTTGACTTGCTTCAGGATATTAGTATGTTAGGATGTAAACCTGCTTTTACTCCTATAGATCCTAATGTCAAACTCATATCAGAGTCTGGTGAGTCGTTGGATGACCCAGGCATGTATCAACGTCTTGTTGGACGCCTTATTTATTTGACCAACACTAGACCTAACTTGACGTTTGCAGTTAATGTTATGAGTCAATTCATGCATGCACCTCGTAAAGAGCCCGTTGATGCGGTTCATCATATTTTGAGGTATTTAAAGACTTCTCCTGGCTTGGGATTGTTCTTTATCGCTGGTCTCCAATTTAAGCTCTACTTCTGGTTTCTGTACTTTCTATGGTAATCATCTTATTTTATGGAAAAATAAAAAACAAGCAGTGGTTTCTACGTCTTCTGCAGAGGCCGAGTATCGGGGCTATGGCACATAAGACATGTGAGATTCTTTGGATTCGCTCTATTCTAACAGAATTGGGTTTTGAGAAGACTGTTCCTTCCTCTTTATTTTGTGATAACAAATCTGCCATTATGTCATCCTCTGATTCTGTACTTCATGAGCGTATCAAGCATATCGAGATTGACATACATTTCATTCGAGAAAAGGTTCGGACTGGCATTATGCGTCCATCCTTTGTCTCTTCTTCTCAGCAGTTGGCAGATATGTTCACAAAGTCTGTGGAACCAACTTTGCTCCAGTCTTCCATTGACAAACTGCGTTTGTTGAATATCTTCACGCCAACTTAAGGGGGAGTGTTGAATATAAAAATCAAAATATTATGTTTGAATATGAAAATTAGAATAGAAAATATTTTGATTATAGGAATCTTACCTTGTGTATATTGTTTCCTAAATTGTATCATAAATATATTATATATACATGGTCTCTACATCATTGATTGGTAAGCCAAATAATTCTTTCCATTCTTTTTGTTGAATACTGAACAAATTATTTGTAGATAAATATATGGTATATTCTCATTTATGTACATACAAGAGACATATTATGACAGAGCTGTGACACAGCTTTGAATCCAGGTGTGTATTTAAAAATGTAATTCAAGGTGGAGACCAAAAGGTCCACCTTCTCAACCCCATAATTCCACTCGCTTGGCAAAAATATAAAATAGACTGCAAAATCTTAAATAGTGATTGAATAAAAAATGCAAGGACAAATATAGGGAAAACAAACAACCACAACATCAAGTCCAAAATCAAAGAATGGTGAAGAGAGAAACCGGCTGAAGCAGCTCACTATCTCCACTACTACTTTAAAACTTGTCAACCTTTTAACACTTCCTACCCACTTCCTACCCATTTTGCCTCAACCATCCCAAAATGGAAAGGAGACAATGAGATAACTATTTTGTCAAGTTTTTTAATAGAAAATACTTGTCAGATACATGAAAGGATTGAGAAAAATGTATTTCAAGCCCAGCAGACACTACAGTAGTAAATTAACGGCACTGGAAGGCTTTTTTTATTTTTTTATCTTACTATATTTCAGTCAGTAACTTGAATGGAGGATAATTACAGGAAATAGTTCTAATTGATCCTATCACTGCAGTCTCATGTACCTTCCCCAAAGATCCAGATAGAATTTGAACCTAGAGCATTCTCCTTACTAAATTTCCACTTCACCTTCTTGACCATGTGACAGAGTCTTAATGCCCAATGTCAAATCTCAAAGGTTGATAAAATGACATACTATTCCCTTATATAAGAATGTTTCACCATGTTAAAATTGGCAAGCAAAATAATAAAATAAAATAAAACAAGATTACCCCCTCTGCTTCACACCTTGAGTATAAACTGTCCAACCTCAGTGCCAGTTTCTGAATGCAAGACGATATGCCATGACCGGACCTTAGTTTGATAGACAGATATTACAAATCTATCAATCACAGACATTTAAAGAGGGGACAAAACAATGAGAACAAGAATATTTTCTAGGAAAACTTTATGTCCCTCCATAAGGAAGACTCAATAAGTAATGTTTAACCAACCAAATCCCAAAGTTTAAGACATTTACAACTAATTCCCTAATTACAAGCAATCATATAATGTAGCAAATCCTACAGCTAATTCTTTGATGTTGCTTGGCTTGCTTCATCCTGGGAAACAGCCCTACCTTGACCGGACTCAAAGAATAAGAGGCATTGACCTAAACATTTGATACATCGGAAGGAGTATCATACCTACCAGCATTGTGAGGTTGTGATTGTTGAATGACTTAACATACATTGTTGGGTCCGTTTCCTAATAGCTTAAGCTTTTGAAAAAATTAGTGAATTTAACATGGTATCAGAACTTGGTTGAGAGAGGTCTTAGGTTTAAATCTCTCCGTTGGCATTTGATATTTGGTCCCTATTTGGTTTCTTCTTCTTTGTTTGGTTTTTCTTTCTATTGGATTCTCTGTTTGTCTCTCCACGTGCAAGACAGGCTTGCACATGAGGGAAGGTGTTGAATGGCTTAATATACATTGTCCGGCCCATTTCCTAACAACTTAAGCTTTTGGGAAACTTAGTGACTTAACAGTGAATCAGCGATACAGCCCCCAAGATATCATATATCTACCTTTACAGGGCCCATGATACAGACCCCAAGGTCTAAATCCTAGTACGCAAAGGTCGGCATGATACTTCCATTTCGTTAAACCAAGGAGAGTTGGCCAACTATTATAGGTGAATTGGCTTCCGACGGCTTAACGCCGTATATAAGGGGGCTCTTGTTCAATATTAAGGCATTGTCATCCTTAGTTTCCTCCATTCCATTGATAAGGGTCACTCTCTCCACAACCCTCCTTTCTCTCACTCAAGCTGCCTTAATTCTCTACTTTGCCTTTGGCAACTCCCTAGCCATTGAAGTGCCCACCATCTTCCCAAAAGACTACGAGTCTAAGAATGACCTTATCTATATCGTATAAAAAATTATACTCCCATTCCAACAAATCTGCACAATGAAATTTTGAATAGAATGGATCAATAACTAATGTTCTTAAATTGTCACTTTAATCCAAATAACTGTGATAACACATATGACCATGAGGCCTAGTGGCATCCATTTGGCACCACAATCAAATCCTGTCCAATGGTAAGACTATGAGTTTCTGCATGGCATCAAACTGGTATAACTCTAAGGAAACATGCAGTAATATGAATGATCAAAATGCACTCCAAAATACCAAAAATAACAAATTAAAAAGAACTAGCTAATTAACCTCCTAATTAATCATATGTATCAGCAACAAATTCTTTAACTCATGTCAAAGCTCTAAGTCAGTTTCCCTTTAACCGATATTCTCTTTCCCCATGATGTTTCTTCCTGAAAAAAGAGAAAAGACGGATAGATATCTCAAGCATCTAAAAGATAGGACTTATGGATCAACTTAACTGCTAATGGAAGATTGTGGGTCCTCGAAGGCAACTCAATGAGTCCATGTCTTTCTTATTTTTCCCTTCAGATAGAAGAGCGTTTCAAATTTTCTTAATTGTTTTTAACAAAAAGCCATCTAATTTTCAAATATTTACCTCGATTGACATGACTAGCATCCTCATACTACACAATCAATTTGTTAGTTACCATCTCATGAGAAAAACAATGGATGCTTAGATTTTCATGAGATCCCAAACACTCCTCAATATTTCAATAAAATATAGAATTTAATGGCAGACCAAGTAGAAAATTGGCTGAAAACTTGACAAAGATAATGATTCTGCATCTGATTGATAAATTCTATGGAAGAAGGAAGTGGATAGAATAAAGGAAAGCAACAGAGGAAACAGAAATACAAGAAACTCATGCTCACCTCCTTTGTCTGCTCAGCATCAACTGAAGGCATAGGATGAACACTAACTGGCTTTGTGTTATGGATAAAACTTTCAAATACATGCCCATTGTCAAAAAACCTAGCAAGCGGAGACAAGAAAGACCTTTGCCCTACAAAGGTCCATTAGATATCATGTGTATTGTTGTCTGGTGCACATATTAAAATTTAATACAAAACATTCTCTAGTACCAAGGAAATGATTTGTTTAGATGATCAACCAAGGAAACGGTGGTAACAAAACTATAATACAACTAGTCATACACAAAACACTTCAAGATCTCTCAAACAGATCAAGTCTAAGGTGCCTCATGAAACATCAAGTCTATGGTTCGACTCTCATTGAGTGCTATCAATTCCTTTGGAGCCATGCCCACAGACATAGCCCAAGATTTACCTGACCCAAGTGGATGGGGTACTTTACATGTGTCTCGGGATTAGTTGGGGTTTACCCGGATGCCCGATTATCAAAAAGATCTCTCAATTTGGTAAGCGAACTGTCTTATGCTTGAGGAATTTCATTAGTGACTAAAGCAAGTTTTGATTTGGGCATACCAGAGCAAAGTCCCAAGAGTTTGCGCCTTCGTATGCTCACCATGGTATTTTTCGATATTCCTACGAGTTGCACAATTGTTCAACTGCAAAGCATAAAATTTTACAAAAATCGTAATAATGATGTAACAACTTACAAACGTTGTCAAGAAATTACAGGAAACAAAATCAGGGGATCGCAATCGAGATGAGATATTCAAATGTTGAAAATGACATATATAAAATGCTAAGCATTAAAAAATAAATAAATAATTCAAAGCATATCTCCCCTAAGGCACCATTCTAATTTCAACACATTAATAGGTCATCGACCAAACCCAGTCAAGCATTCTATTACTAAATAAACAAGTAATCTAGCTAGCTCAAATTTGGTCAAAAGCACAACCTAACTATGCAGAGAATCAGTTCCAAAAGGGGAAAATGTTGAGTCACTACCAAACAACCAAACAATATGAGCAATCAAAGACCAACGATACCTTTTCATGAACAAAAACAGTTAGTGTGATTGGTGAAGATTTGTGTCCGTTACCACTAAAACATGTTTAACTTCGAGTCCTGACAGCAACAACTAATATCATCTTAAGATGAACAGAGAAAATGACAAGAAGTACAATTCAAAACAGTTAGCTAGTTTTTTAAGCACAAAGCAACCAAGTGATTCCACATTCACACTGCAGAGGAAAATCAACGATTTCATAGTATATGCAGCTTATATTGTATATAATGTAGTTTTATAGGATGGAGCTGTTGGGTAAAAACACAAAACAGATTTGCAATTTTCACTCGAGTTTCCAAAAAAAAAAACTTGCAATCAGCTTCATCAACCCAGAAAGGAAAGAAGATGATAACTTGATGGGCGATTGATAATTTGCATAAAGCAATCCCAAAACAATCATCTAGATAAACAAAGTTAGAAATCCAAGGTTTAACAAAAAAACCCTCCCTCCATCCCAAAGAATTTCAATCCTCTCTCCTTGGAAGATAAGTCAACCCCCCACCAACCTACCACCTTTTTCGGAAGTGGTAGAGAGAAATATAGAACGAACCCAACAAGAAAACAAAGTCCAATACACACTTCACAAAGGGAGACCACAGAAATCAAGAGAAACCCATGTAGCCAACATGAGATTGAAACAGACCCATCAAAGCAAATGCACACAAAAAACAAACCCATGAGTAGCAAGGCCAAAAGCGCTTCACACAAGCTTAAGCTAGGAAAGAAACAAAACCAGCCATTACAAGCAGAGAAGTCCTGTGTTCATACCTGAGAGGCAAAGAAGATGTGGGGTGGTTAGAGAAGCACAGATATCGAGGAAAACAACTCGGGTTTGACGGAAATCTGGCAGATAGTGAGTGAATCGATTACAAAGGGGAAGGTCAAGGTGGTGAGGGTGGAGAGAGAGAGAGAGAGAGACAGAGAGATTGCTGGTCATGCATCTACCACCTCTATGTCCTGTTTGGAGAGGAAGGTGGTGGTGATGGTATGGGGTAGAGAGAGAAAGGAGAATGAACTAGAGAACAGAAGGTGAACGTATTGCTTCGCTGAGCTAGATTTGTCAAAGACAATAATACCCCCTCGTAATTTTTTCAAAAGATTGTCAAATTATCTGTTCAGTCTTTAAATTATTAATTGAGTCTATTTTAGATTTTTAAAGTTTATTAATCAGAATTTATTTAATTTTTATTAAATTTTTAAAACATTTAATTCAAATATGTTAGTCACTGAAAAAAACTAAAAAAATAAAATATATATCTATAAGTATTATAAATTAATAAATTTCCCAATTAATATTTTATTTTAGAAAAATGAGATGTCTTTAAAAGTGTTTTGTTTTACAAAAACGTTTCTGACCCCCTCAAAAACAGACCCCCACGGCCCCCTCTGAGTTGGACAGGCATGTGATGGGTCACGTGATATACAGGGGCCACGTACCTCCTCTTTCAGAATTCAAAATGGAAAATATAGCTCTATGACAATGAGAGACGAGAGGTAGACGACTCCTCAACTCGACGAACAACTCCCCTTCACTCAACAAACAGCTCCTCAACTCCCAACTCCGACGGCCGACTCCCTCAGCTCCTCCCTTTCACTCCGACGTCCTTGACTCCGATGCCCTCTCGACTTTCTCTCTCCTTCTCTTTCCATCTTATTCGACGGACAGACTCCTCCCCTTCACGCCGACGACAGGTCCTTCTGACGCCCTACTCTGTCCTCTTGAGTCCCGACTCCCTCTATTTCCATCCCATTGACGACGAGGTAATCTAGTGTGTGTATATATATATATGTTGATTTTGCCCTAATTTTGCCCTAATTATGTAAAATCTGAAATTAAGGCAACATGTTGATTTCTTCTCTTTCAATTTTACAAATCTGGTGTATCTTGCTGAAATTAGGGCAAAATGAGGGCAAAATTCCTCAATCTGAAAGACAGATTTTAGGGCAAAATTGACTATATAAGTTAGGCAACTTGTTGAAAGAGAAGAAATCAGATTGAAATTGAAATTGACTATATAAGTTAGGCAACTTGTTGAAATTTCTCAAATTGAAATTGAAATTTCAAATTTTTGCTGAAATTGAAATTGAAATTGAAATTGGAACAATATTTCTCAAATTTGTTGAAATTTCAGATTTTTGCTGAAATTGGAACAAAATTCAATTATGTAAAATCTGAGATGCAATCTTTGGAGTAGTTATGTAAAATTTGAGATAAATGACGATAAAATCTGATAGGCAATTATGTATAATCTGATAGGCATAGCCATGAGATGCAATTTCACATAATGTGATATGCAATTTTACATGTATAATCTGATAGGCATAGCCATGATAAAATCTGATTTGTCAATAGTTTGGCTATACATGATAAATCACAATTATGTAGCTCAATTTTAAATCTCAATTATGTATCATTGAGATACATAACTACTGAGATGCAAAGCCATAGGCATAGCCATAGGAAGATTGAAAACTCAATTATGTAGGATTTGATTTCTCAATAGTTTGGCTATACATGATAAACTGATTAGACTAATTAGTGCATATTCTGATAAACTGATTAAACTCAATAGCATAGCCATAGGAAGATTGAAACTGATTAGACTGATTAGTGCATATTCATTGAACTTATACATAACTGATTAGTGCATATTCACTGAACTTATTGTCAACTTGAATGTAGAATAATTATGAGACTAAACATGGAATTGAGTATGGGAATTGAGCATGGCCTTTTGACATAAGAAGGAAGATTGAAAAAGTGGTGAATGTCCCTCTTAATGCAGTCTTTACTCACTATACATCATGAGCTGAAATAATCTTTATTCACTAGTTTAATGAGGATAACTTGTTATTGCAGATGTCAAGTTCAACTGTCAACGGCAGTAGCTCAGATCGGTTGATGTACTTGAACAAAAATTGTCCTACATGTAATAAAAAGGCCACGATTCAAATTTCTGAGACCGATCGAAACAAAAGCAAGTTATTCTACTCTTGTAATGGTTGTGGTACTTTCATTGGATGGTGTGTGCCTATGAATTCACAATGTGGAGATCATGAAATTCCAAGACAAGTAGAAAGAGAACTGCTAAGATCTATGATGGAACAACTTTGAGTTATGACCGAACAACAAAGATCTATGACGGAACAACTTCGAGCTATGACCGAACAACAAAGATCTATGACGGAACAACTTCGAATTCAGAGTGCAAAGATGCAAAAAATAGAATTTCTGATGTTTGTGTTGCTTATAATTGGTGTCTTATTACTTATGAAGATGTAATGTTAGTTAGAAGTAGAAGTAGAAGTAGAAGTAGATTGAACTATGTTTTGTTATGGAATGGAATATGTATTAGTAAGAAACAGTTTGTTATTTTTGAGTGGAATGGAAATGAATTGTTGAACTGTTATTGTTGAATTGTTGAATGAAGATGTGGAATGAAGATGTGTTATTGTGGAATTGTTGTGGAATGAAGATGTGTTATTATTAAATTGTTGAAGCCTTGATGATTTTCACATACAGATGATTTTGGTGCATGGAATGGAAATGAACCAACATGGAATGATGTGTTATTGTTGAATTGTTGAAGCCTTGATGAATTATTGTCGAAAAAGAACCAACATGAACTGTGTTATTGTTGAATTGTTATTGTTGAATTATTGAGCATGAACCATGAACTGAACCATGAACCATGTTTGACACAGTTTGTGCATGAACCATGTCATATTTTTTTATAGACAGATTTTTTACATATTTGAGCATGAACCATCACAGTTTGAGCATGAACCAGTTTTTTACAGATTTTTTACAGATTTGAGCATGAACCATGACAGTTTGAGCATGAACCATGACAGATTTTTTTACAGACAGGTTTTTTTACAGATTTTTTACAGATTTGTGCATGTAAGAATGTGAATCCCTTCCCAATGTAAGGACTTGAATAGCCAAACATGAACTGATTTTTGGCTCCTACAAAATAGAAAACTGGAATACAGATTTTGGCTCAGTTATTCTGAAATCATAACTGAAATCAAAATGTCAAACCATGATCTACTATGTGTGGTTTACTATTTTGGCTCAGTTACTATGTGTGGTTTGAAACTAAAACCATGGTTTGAAAAAATATGGTTTGAAAAAATAGTAAACCATTTGAAACCATAATTTCAAACTATGTCAGATGGTTTACTATTTTTTCATAACTGAAATCATAACTGAAATCAGTTATACAAATCTATGTCAAACCATGAACTTGAAAACTGAAATCATAACTGGCTTTTGGAGGATGTGAACCATGAACTGAAAAAATCAGATTTTGGCTCAAATACTGTCAAAATAGAAAACTAAAAAACAGATTTTCAGATTTTCAAAGACAGATTTTTAACAACAGTTTGGCAGTTTGAATCATGAACTGAAAAAATCATATTTTTTTTAAATACTGTCAAAATAGCAAACTAAAAAATATATTTTTTTTACAGATTTCTTAAACCATGAACTGTCAAGAGAGATTTTGCATGAACTCTCAAAAAATCATGCTCAAACACTATCAAAATGCTCAAACACTGTCAAAATAGAAAACTGAAATAGATTTTTTTACAGATTTTTTTAAACCATCAACTGTGAACTCAAAATGCTGAAAGACAGATTGTCAAAATAAACCATGAACTCAAAGACCAATCTTACATAACCAATAAAGTGGGACTTAATAATAATTAATCTTGCAAATTCATACACAACATGTGTTACACATCTAACATGGGACTTAACATAATAAGTTTCAATCTCAAAAACAAAATGTCAATGTTCAATAAACTAGTCAAACATTTCTACAATGTCCATCATTCATTCCCGCTGTGCATGCATTATTACCCAATGGGGTTAGAGATCCAGACCCAAACATTTGAGTTGGAACACTCATCAAACTTCTCGGTGTGCCGCTTACAAAGTCCGATGGGATAAGAAATGTGCCTCCAATAGCATTTATGACCTATCATAATTGAAGTAAAAAAGTACATGTTACAAAATATTTGTAAATGAAAACAAAAAATTGATGTAAAGTCATATTATAAACACATACTGGTGCATACACACTATTTTGCATGCCAACCATATAAGGATAATATGATGTATAAGCTTGAGCTTGAGCTTGAACTTGAGCTTGAGCTTGAGCTTCAAATTAAAGCACCTTAGCAGCCTATATTGGTTCAAGAGTTTGTAAAAATGTACTTGAAAAGAGTTTGTTAAAAAAATTAAAACAAGTTCAATTCAATATACTAGTTCAATTCAATATACAATTTACCTTTGCTTTGGTTTGTTTTTTTGCCGTTGCCTTGAACCGATTCACTATTTGATCTACTTTGGCAACCTTTCGTTTCGTAACTGGACGACCGCTTCGTCGAACAACCAAAGGACTAATCACCTTCCTCGTACTAGCACCCGATGTACAACCGGTGGCAATCGGACTTTTTCTAGAAGATGGTATCCTATTAGTAGAAGGTGGTAAATTACTCCCATCACCCGATTCATCGTGCATGATTGTATCATTCATTTCATCCAACCCAAGGTCTATAATTTTAATTTTCCCTTCCGAATTACCATCAATTTGTACAATGGCGATCAATTTCTTGTTCATCCTCTCATAGCAACTTGTGTTGAAATCATCCCCAAAGCCAATGTACGTGGTTTTGATGCATGTGTACTCTTGAACCAAATCTTTCCTCCAACGTGGCAAAATGTACTTACTTGGCACCTCATTTATGCACCTTCTCACAAGCACCGCGAGTGAGTGAGCACACATAATGCCTCTAAATTGAAACAACCGACACATACATTGAACTTCACATTCAATTGAATTAAAATACACAACAAAGTCCACATGCTTCATCTTGTCACAAACTACCATCGCTTCTTGGACATTATATGTACAAATTGCTCCCTCCTCTTTGACAATCAAAGCCTGACAGTACACTAATCTCTTCAACTTTCCTTGAACTTCTTTGAATTTTGCATTGGTGTAGGCTTGCTGAAATTGCTTCTCAAAGCCATATATAGTTAGACAATCAAACAATTTGTGTCTAGACTTGAAGTCTGATTTCTTCTCTTTTTCTACCTTACTTCTCAACGTATTGTCATATTGTAATGTAGTCTTCGGGTTGACATATCCATCAAAAAATGCATTCATGCTTTCGCTTCGTTGTGTTGTTCACATGCCAACCCAAAAAATGTCTTTAACATATACAGGAATCCATCGATGCCGCTCATGACATAGTACCCCCAACCACTCATTATCATAAAGATTGAATTTAGTAAGCATCTCTTCCCATTTTTCCTCAAATTCATCTCTTGTCAAACAATCATAAACTGTATTTTGCATAGCCAACTTTATGGGTTCATACTGAGCATATCCTTTCAACTTCTCCGATATTTTCTTCATTACATGCCATAAGCACCATCAATGTCGGGCCTGTGGAAAGACAATTTCTATAGCATTTTGCATAGCTCTGCACTGATCAGTTATGATAGCTTTTGGAGGATTATTTGACATGCAACTTAACCACGACTTGAATAGCCAAACAAATGTGTCGGTGTCTTCACTAGATAACAATCCACAACCAAGCAAAATAGACTGTCCATGGTGATTGACTCCTACAAATGGAGCAAATGGCATATCATATTTGTTCGTCAGATAAGTTGTGTCAAATGAAACAACATCTCCAAATGATTCATACATAGCCCGACTCCTTGCATCAGCCCAAAACAAGTTTCTGATGCGAAACTCCTCATTAACATCAATCACATAAAAGAATTTCTCACTATGTGTTTGCATCCTCATAAAATAACTTTGAAGTGATTCGGCATCACCTTCACCAAGCCTTAATCTTCTAGCTCTATTAATGTAAATCCTTGCATCTCGCTCATCAAATGTCAATGGCTCGTATCCCCCCGCTTCAATAACCATTGAATGATAGTTCCTAGACACCCCAATCCTTGCTTGATCATTGATTTCTAATCTTCTCTTCACAGGAGTACGAATTTTCTTATTCATTGCAAAATGACGAGAGTCGGTGAGAATCAAATCATGATTATGCTCAAGGTTAACTGTGGTTAACATATATGTCCCATTCTTTTGTAGAGTACCTCGTACCCTTGCTTTGCAACCAATTTTTGTGGACAGAGATGGCTTCAAAGGGTTCACTTCTGATTTCTTTTTTCTCTCCCCCGCTCGAGAACATTCAATTGCAAAGTTTTTTAATTGGCCATCATCTCCAAAATGTTGTGCTCTATGAGCTATAGAAAAGCCAACATGCTTAGCATATGTGGCATATAATGTGTACATTTCTTCCCTTGAGCTAAAACACATACCCTTCTTAGGTTCTTCAACTTGTTCAACCTCATTTACTGAAGGATTGTCACCATCATTTGAATCAACCTCCATTCTATGAGAATCAAAAATGAAATTCGAATAGCATGATTTTAGAATAATTATTTTATAAGATGATTGGAAACTTTGAAACTGCTATGAAACTAATAATTTTAGCTAATAATAATTTCAGTCTATGAGCTATGAGCTATAAGATTATTATAGCTGATAATAACTCTATGAGCTATAAGATTATTTTAGCTGATAATAATTTCAGTCTCGCCACAATGAATTTAAACCATGAAACTAATAGCGGCCTTTGTTTCGATCCACAATGAATTTCAATGAAACTAATAAGAAATACAGATATTTCAACATCTGTATGTTATTGTTGAAATGAACCATCATTATTTATAAGATTATATGGCTAAATTAACCATATAGAAGATTATTCAAAAAGCTAATGGTAAAAGAAGATTCCGTCTACTATAGCTCATTTACTGTTCTTGAGCCATTTGACTAATATGGCTAAATTAACCAAGTGAAAATTATGATTTTCAAGCACTGGGATCAGAAAGTGAAACCACAAACACCAAAAGAAATTGAATATTCACAGAAGCAAAGTCATACTTATAATGTACAGTCATTTATTTGCCAATAACTTGCAAAGAAATAATTAGCCAAAAACAAAGCAGTTCTAAACACATTTAATGTTATATTAGAGCCCCAAATACGAGCCAAATGCATTACAAATTGCACATTAACATCACAACTCCTCTTTTCCACTCCTCTGTTTAGTTGTAATGTCTGTATTTCTTAATGAGTATTTCAACTTCTCCTTTTCACATACAGATGATTTCGATCCCCAATGTGTTATTGTTGAAATAAACCATCATTATTTAGAAGATTATATACAGACATTTCACAGAGATTGATCAATGTATGGAGATAGAGAGAGAGAGAGAGAGAGAGAGAGAGAGAGAGAGAGAGAGAGAAAGAATGAGGGGTTTTCGAGTAACATTACCTGACAAAATGCTATCGGAATGCGATCGAAGATCCGTAGAGCGAGATACAGAGAGTTATGGCCGGAGAGCTATGGCCGTCGACGGAGGAGAGCTATGGCGGACGCACGATGGAAGAGGGAAGCGGGAAGATGGAAGATGGACAGGGGCAGGAAAGAAGGAAATATCAGGGTCGACGTTGTGTTGCTTCCTATTTTTTTTTTTGGTCTTTGTTTTCAGCCTATATTTTTTTTGTCTTTCAGTTGTGTGTATCACACCTTTTTCATTGTGTAATTCTTCTTCACATGACTTCAGCAGGTGCCACCTCAGAGGGGGTCGTGGGGGTCGGTTTTGGAGGGGGTCTGTATTGCCACTGTTTGTTTTACTATGTGTTTAAATTAGTATCAGATTCTGTTTTCTTATCCTTTCGAATAAAATGATATGAATATTAGAGGTAAGTTTGGAAAGTTCAAAAAATAGCCACACACAAAAAAAAAAAAATTATACAAAAAAGTTAAAGATTTTTTTTCTTCTCTACTTTTTTACATGTTTTTTTGTACAAAGTCAAAAAATCATCCCAAACATACTAAGGGGTTGTTTGGTTTTTGAGTTGGGCTAAATAATCACAAAAGGACAAAAAAAAGTCAAAAAATCACAAAAAGCCAAAAATTACAAAAGGACCAAAAAAATCCACCATTTCAAAAAAGCCAAAAAAGCCAATCAAGAATACCAAACAAACAAAAAAGTCTCAGGCTAAAAAAGTCAAAATAACCAAAAAGCTAACTAAAAAAGTCATTGTCAAACGAAGGCTAAAATTTTCTAAAAATTGTATCCAGAATTTAGGAACCAAATACAATGATTATGTTTTTAAAAAAGTGAGTACCAGTTCTTTTGGTGAATTTTCATTACAAGAGTAATGGTAATTATTTGTAGTATTTTCTTACTTATCTTCTACAATAATTATTTGTTTGCTTTTGTCTAATATTATATACCAGATTTTGTTTATAATTTCTAATTGATTATCTTTAAGTTTTTCGTTAAGTGTTTTTTAAATAACTTAATTTATATATTATCTTATTCTATTATTATTATTATTATTATTTATAGCAAAGTATTATTATTTAAATTATCTGAATCTACTTCTTCAGTATATCTAGGGTTGCTTTGAGAATAGACAATTTTATAATTTTTTGGCTAAAAGATGAGTTAGAAAAAATTAGGTAGCGTTTGGCAGAGTTTTAGAATTATGATTTGAGAATAAAGTTGTATTTTGAGTTTGTGAGTTTCGGAATTATGATTTGAAAAGAGAAAATTTATTTAGTTATGAGTTTTGAATTAAGTTTTAAATTTTTGATGTGACATGAAATGAGAAAAATTGTTTGGTTATGATTTTTGAAAGAGTTTTCAAAACTTAATTGAAAAACTTATAACTCATAACCAAACACACAACTCAAAACTCTATTGAAAATTTTATTCAAAATTTATAACCAAACTCTTTTTAAAATTCAATTCAAAAACTAATTTGTCATTTTAGTCTAAAAAAATAATTTCTATATTTAAAAAATATCAAAAACAAATATAAATTTTTTCTTTCCAAATAACAGGTGGCGATTGGAAATTGGAAAAAAATATCAAAAACAAATATAAATTTTTTCTTTCCAAATAACAGGTGGCGATTGGAAATTGGATAAAAAAAAATTATAAAAAAAAAAGGTATTGTTCGGTCAACTGGCTAGACATCTGAGAGGATGTCCAGGCGGACGATCGGGTAGACCAAAAATTCAAAAACTGTCTGATTTACAAACATGTTTTCAAAATGTGTTTTGAAATTCATTTGGAATCATGATTTGAAAACTTAAACCAAACATAGCATTAGAATGTAAAGGTGGAATTCGTTTTAAAAAGTTAAACCAAACACAGCCCAAGGTTTTCTGGATTAATTTTGAACCAAATCAAACTTTGATTTCAAAACCAAATCAAAGGTTCAATCTCACGATCCTTTTCCGCATAAAAAGGATGATGTTTGGTTTGAGTTTTGGAAAATTAATTCCACCCCTTCTTTTGAAAACTCGTTCAGGTGGGCTTTTAAATTTTGAAATTTAGCCTACCGGTCGTCCTCCTGGACGTCCGGCTGGTCATCTGGTCAGTTGACCGGCCAGTTGACCTGAACAGTGCGATTTTTTTTTATTTTTTGTTTTTTTTTTGCAATTGGCACTTGTTTTTTTTTATTTATATTTTTAATAAAACAATGTTTTTGAAATTTTTAAATTTTTTTATGAGCTTTTAATAGATTTTGGAATTGTATGTTTGGTTATGAGTTATAAATTTTTGTATCAGATATCATGCCACATCAAAAATTCCCCACTTAATTCAAAAAAAAATTTTAAAACTCATTCATCAAACAAATTTTCTACATTCAAATCATATTTCCAAAACTCACAAACTCAAAATACAATTCCTATTCTCAAATCATATTTAGAAAACTCTACCAAACGCTACACCCAATTTTCGAGTTTGATTTCGGAAAGTAACTTTATCATTTTCAAACCAAATGAAAGTTTATGAGGTAGATGTTTTTTGGTTTTGATTTTGAAAGTAACTTCATCATTTCAAACCAAATGAAAGTTTATGAGGTAAAGGTTTTTTGGTTTTGATTTTGAAAATTAACCATACCATTTTTGAAAAAAATCAAAGTTTCTGAGCTAAAGGCTTTTTGGTTTTCATTTTGAAAATTAACTTCATCATTTTCGAACCAAATCAAAGTTTCCCCTTTCGATTTTCAGCATTTTATTTTGATTGATCTTCAATATTTTTGAAGCAAATCTCCATTTTTGAGCTTTATTGCTTCTTATCTTCTTTATCAATCTAGTAAAACCCTCAATTTCTTGTGATTGGTTGCTTCGATCTTTGCTATACGAAGAGTCGAGAGGAAAAGAGTAAAGTTTTGTTAACCCTTGTAATTGTATCATTTGTGCTATGTGTATTTGAATTCATTTTGTCAGGGTTTGTTAACCCTTGTAATTTTGCTATAAATGTAGGTTTATGATAGCTTATATCGTTGACCCAAAAATGACGTTCAATTTTTATTAGGATTTCTTTATAAGTGTAATTTACTCATAAATAAATAAAACAATTATTCATTGTTTGGGATGGAAGCATTCAGCTGTGTGTCCATGGGTCATTTTTTTCAGGGGACAAAACAGAATATATATATATATATATATATAAGAATACAACATCCTTTCAACTTGAGTAAGCAATCCCCCTTCAATATATCCCTAGGCAAAAACAAATCAAATATCGAAATTTCTTGTTGTGTAAAACATCATTTGGGTAGCTTAAGCAAAAAATGAAATAAAGGCAAAGATTTTGTTAGATTTATAGTTGCCAAAATGTTATTAGACTAGAGGAGGACATGATTAGTTTAGTAACCTTCGTCAACTTAGTTTTTGGGTGTCGACACTTGTTTAAATGATATGTTCAAATTTCTCCTATTTTTTTTGAATTTAACAAATTAAAAAACTAGTCTGATGATTTTAGAGTTCAATTGCACATGCTATTAGAAAATCTTGATCTCTTTTTCCCAGAGGGGAAAAAAGTTCAGCCAAACATAAACTCTCTTCTACAAAAATTAGTACAGCAGATCAAGTGAAATGTAATACATACATGCATATATATAGTAGTAAACTTGTACAAAAAATAAGGATAGGAGATGGTTTTCTTTCATAAGAAATTATAAATACAACTTTTTCATTAAGATATGTTTAGAATTAGGGGGGAAAAAATGATTAAAAAATATGAAAAAAATATTGGTCCAATCAAGCTTGTTACCCAAAAAGTAATCCAAGAGGAGGGTGAATGGGTTTCTTCAATTTAAAACTAATAATTACCCAATAAAAATTATGTTCTAGTACAACAGTTATAACAGATATTATCAAATATATCAGATGGATATCACAGTAAATATGAAGGCTCAAATTTTTTCAGCAAAAACCTCTCAAGGCAGATAAGCACAAAGCTAATCTCAGTATTTAATTTCTGAAGAAGATGAATGCTTCAGATATCTCTCAGAGT